TATATATATATATATATATATATATATATATATATACAAATATATATAATAGAATCAATCAATAAAAGAAGATATACTAACGCAAGGTTTTGACTGTTGTACTCAATAGTTTTATCATTTCCAACAAAAGGATCAAGAACAGGGATTCCCAACACTATATCTCCTTGCTTCATTACTTCACGTAACTTAACTTCAAGAAACTCCCGGAATTTTTCTTCATAACTTTGTCTTGTTGCTAATTAATAAAAAAGTAAAAAATTGAAATTGTTAAAAAATAAATAAATAAAAACTCACGTTGATCCTGAACAACAACATAATATCCAATAACATTATCGGCGATTAATATGACCGTGAAAATGGCCTCGAAGAATTTCATAACGAATCAAATGATGGGTGCTGTAACATCCCGTATTAATTTATAATTAACTTTTAACCTACGTTGTAATTTATTACTTTGTCTAAAATACTGTGTACGTATGAAGATATAGTAAACAATATATTTTCAATTTTAAGCAATGTGGTGTTGTTTTTTTTTTTTTTTCTATATATTTTTGCCAGATAAAAATTTAATACCTTTTATCAATCGCCAAAATATTAACTGAGTGTAATGGATCAACTGATCTATTTATATTTATACGATATTACTATCGTCCATTGACTTGTATTAATTCTTATGTTATCATTTATCATGATACTGAAATCAGACAATTTTTTTTAAAATTAATTATAAAAAAATTGAACTCGAAATTTTTTTTTAATTTTTAAATGTTAAATTTTTTTAATAATAATTTAGATTTTTCAATTTTTTTATTTTTCAAAAGATTAATAAAAATTGATTGTAATTTTTTTTTATTACAAATTATTTATTAAAAAATTAGTACTTGTAATTTATTTTCAATTTTTAAAAGTAAAATTTTTTTATTAATAATTTAGATCTTTAACTTTTGTATTTTTCACAAAGGTAATAAATATCATTGTAATTTTTTTCCTGTATCAAACAACGCGCGTATTTGTATGCACACGCAATATTACACTCACAAGTTGTAAATAAAAAATAAAATAAAATGAATTTTCTGTAGCCTTTTGTGCGCAATATTCTCTTTTTATTATTTTTCACTTGAATTACGAACTCTCGTTTCAATTGTTCCTACTTGAAGCCTTAAGTATCATTAATAGGAACTCTCATTAAATCTCTTGTAATCTCGAGACATTCAATCGCCCCTTCTCAATTTTTATCTTTTCTTTTTCATTCAGTTTATTTTTCTTGTAATAAATTAAACCATTCGAATAAGTTATTTTTATTTTATTTATATGCCAAGGCAAATATACATGATAATTTTATAAATCTATAATTACATAAGTACTACGATTAATTAATCGTTTTAATAAGTAATTTAGAGATATTAAAAATCAGTAAACAAATTATATTAAATTATTTATAATTTAGATACTAAATCGAGAGAAATATTTTATTTGTTGGGTTTTTACAATTGACTTTCATACGTCTTTTATTTTCATTAATTTTTAATTAAAAAGTTTTAAAAATTACAATGATAAAATTTTTTTTTTCTACAGCTAATAAAATTATTTATTACAATGTTAAATTTTTAAAAATAAATTTTTAAACAGATAACTTCTGAATTTTCATTAAAAAATTTTTTTCCCAAATTTAAGAAGCTTTTTTTAATCAAAAAAATTACTATAAAAAAAAATTTTTACTTCTTCGTCTAAAATAAAATTATTGAAAATTTTAAACAAATGAATCTATGTTATTAAGAGAATTAGACAAATTTTGTGGTCATGATAGTCATATGATAAAATCGGTTTTTATATTGAAATTTAATGTCATTGCAAAGGTCTTGACTTGAATTTGTGCCTTATCAAGGTTTCATATCATTCTCACCGATAGTCAATTTATTATGATAAATATTTAGGATGCATTCAAAAATACTCTATCTCTAGATACATAATTAAGAAATTATCTTGTATCTTGTGAACTATTGAAATTTTTTAAGATATAAGCACACTCCAACATTACACTCATCGAGACCTTTCATTTGAGTACCCACATCAATTTTTCATATATTTATATATATGTATACATAAAAAATATATCAAAATACATGTGGGTACTCAAATGAAAGCTCTTGATGAGTATATCATCGGAATGAGCTTATATCTTTAAAAATAATAATAATTAAGAAAGTATCTTGTATTTTGTGAAATATTGACATTTTTGTAGATATAAGCTCATCCCGATCTTATACTCATTGAGACCTTTCACTTGAGTACCCACATCAATTTTTCATATATTTATATATATTATATATATGTATATATGAAAAATATATAAAAATGCATGTGGGTATTCAAATGAAAACTCTTGATGAGTATAACATCGGGATGAGCTTATATCTTTAAAAACGTCAATAGTTAAAAAAATACAGTGCAATTTAACAAGAGTCATTATTTAATAAAGCAAATTTTTATTTATTTATAGTTCACAAGTCACAGCAGCCACATAGTGACTGCAAGGTTGCTAGTTATTTATTAAATTGTTAATTTTTTAAAAAAAATTTTTTTCTTAATAAAAAAATTAAACTTTATGGGGACCCGGTGGTCTAGCGGCCTAAAATTGACTAATGCTTTCAAATTTTTTTATACTTATTCTATTACTTATCAACTAGGGTAAATGCACCAATTATTGACCGATTAAGGTTTTCTTTTTCTGTACTAAGCTATAAAAAATCTATTAACCTATTAAAAACAATTTGTAATGGATTTTATTAAAGTTAAATACTTAATTAATAATAATTAATAACTATTTATAATAAAAATTGACAAAGTTATATTAATTTTGTTATTTGAATCTTGAAATACTAAAATCACCAATTATTGACCGAAGAAACCCAATAAATGACCGACCGTTCTCCAATTAATTGACCGCTCAAATAATTATAAGTAATTTTGTAAACTACATATATGTAATTAAATTTATGCAGTACTTTTGAAGTATTAACGACATCTTTAACAAAATTAAACATACAATATAATTTCAAATCGTACTTTTTTATAATAATAGCAACAATTAACATAAAGTCACATTTCTTTAGATCACAAATAATCACAAATTCATTTTGATGATGATAATTTTTCTGATTCACTTGAAATTTTTTTATTCTTCTCCTTCTTTTTTCAATTAAAGCTTTTTTATTAGCCTGTAACTCTTTTTTATTTTTTTAATTGCTCAGCAATTTTTTCTTCTAATAATTCATTC